ATGACAGCTGCCACTTCTCACAGGTTGTCATGATCCATAAGATCAACCATCTGCCGGCTATTTACTTGTGTTTCCATGAAATGTGCTTAGACCTTTGCGCGTGTCGTGTAGCTATTGGATGGGGGTATACATTCTATATTAATCATTCGTTTTGTCTGAATGATCAAATACCTGTTTCTGTCATTTAAGCGCCGGGTGAGCGATAGTTACCGTTTGGATGAGTGATATATACCCTATTCCATTGTAGTATTTACTGATAGCATCATAACCTTCATGTATTCGTTGGGCACCCCCTTAGCCAACATGAATCTAAAATTAGCGCTTATTCCTTATGCCCCCGTAAAGCATCCCTAGCGTAGATTGAGAGAAGTGCAGAAAAAGCATCGACATACTCACAATTGGACACCTTAAGCGATCGTGTCCACCTAACATGTATCTAACATACTGTGTTCAGCAGCAAAACAGGGTTCCAGAATGTGTGCTAAGGTCTGATAGTGCTGCTGGCGCTAGCGTTAAGAAGCCGTTACGGCCACTTCGATATCTGGAGCCGCGTGGAAAACCACGTACAAGAAAAAGGTGCTAATTCTTTAAAAATGGCATTCACATATTCTTAGAAAAGTACCATAATTTCATTATAACGTATTTTATTGGTGAGTCGGTAGAATATTGTGTCCTTTGCATATCTTTACGACTGCATGATTGAGGGATTTTTGGATCTCTCCGCAGGCTGATCGTGTTTTGAAGCCAGCTTCCGAAGTCACCTAGATTCAGAATTTGGATTTCTATCTACACTTGAGAGGTCTTTGCAGCAATTCAAGAAATTAACGTTGGACGTAACTGAGAAGACATAATTAGTGCGGATGAAGATTCGAGCTTACCAATTGCACCAGTGATAAAAATGATGGTCCGAATGCGCGTTTCCGCATTTTGCGCAAGTCACGATTTTAGCACCCTGTCTCCATCTCATTCGATAATTTTGACGTCTACTCTGAGTGACGTAGCCTCGAGCACGACCATGTGCGTATTTGTAGTATCTGTATCCTACACTTCTCTGTAGACAGTGCCTATTATGGTAGATCGAGTAACTATGCAGCGTGGATGAAACCGTTCAAATGTAAGTTGTACATACCTCATGAATAAATAGTCAGTTTGTAGCATTAAAGTGCTTCGACAAATGTGCATGACGTATGTTGTTGTCTCGACTCCCCCGCCATCTACCCTTTGCTTCACACAACACAATTTCCAGGTCCTTCAAGCCGTGCGTGTATCTGAGTTACAACATCAGGAAGTGATTAAGAAGAAGTTTAAGTTGAATTTGGGCGAGATAACTATACATGCAGTTTCATGCAACAAAATGTGCGCAGGAGAGGTAAGGTGATGTAGGGCGAGGAGAATGTTGTAGGTTGGCTTTGTACTCTGTTTGGCCATTATCAGCTCCTTAGGTTTCCACGTATATCCTCAAGGTGTTTTCAGAGGAGAGGGAAATTTTAGGATAAATTACACATATTTTATGAAAGAATAATATACTTTGAAAAGTACCCCCCTTTCCAAAGTATATTCTTTTTTCATAAAATATGTGTAATATATCCTAAAATTTCCTGATTAAGAAGTCCTTTGTTTTGCAATTAAATTACCAAGGTACATATTTTGATATTCCCTGTTAGCTTTTGTACCTCTTTTTATAGATGGATGTATTCTTATCAGAGGTGCTGCTTCAAAATTCCCGTTTGCATAGTTTCGTCAGATTAGTTATGGATACTGAGGACAAAGAACCAACAATCTCGCGGAGGCGAAAAACTCCATGATCAATCTTGTGAAATCCATTCGGCAAATCAGTTCAACTAATCATGTAGGGAACATCACCACCTAAACAATCCCACTAGAGCGAGACAATAAGAAAAACCAATGTCGCTGCTATCCAGAATGATGTAGGCTTCTCGCTGGATTTGACACATGCTTACAGATTTGAAAAACGTCGGTACATGTGGTTCGGATTGTATGGGAGCTGTGTCTACGCGTCGAATTGGCAGTACCTCCTTTTTACTTAAATACCCCGTCGTTTTATCTGGATGACCTGCAGCTTGCACTTTCAAGGTTCAGCCGCTTTTATCAAATGGATGGCCAAGATCTAGCTATTGGATGTCGCAAAAGGGTGGCCAAGATCTAGCCATTGGATGTCGGCCTCATCGCAGCATTCAGGCAGCGCTACCGCCTCTCCATCTGTAGAGAGTGATCGATAGTGACATAGATGATAAACGGGACTGTTTGCGCATCCTCCTGTGTCTCCAACTGTTATGATTATGGAGAGAAACCAAGGTATTTCGAACTATCACGGTAGCGGAGAGTTCTTGCAGCAAAGCTGTATGGTAAACTATAAAACGGCTTCGTGTCAGAACAATCATGTTCCTTTTGGAGCTTCTTAATTGCATCGAAGAGGATCTGAGGGATCAGCCGGAGCTGACTGACGACAATGTTCTGAAGAAGGCTCAAGAGGAAGACGAAGATGAAAGAACCGGCAGAGGTCTAATAAAGTGGAGCCTGATGCAGAAGTGAACACTAGGAAAGAAAAAAACTTCTCTCTGCATGATCCCTGCTCCCTGCTCGATGGATCCAAGGAAACACACTGGGTTGCTTGCAGAGTGCTGCGCGAGTTTCAACTTTACCAGAGCAAGGCACGCAGCATCATATCCACCCTTGACTTGTGGTCAAAGAATGTCTCCTACTCAACAGAACGTTTAACCACCGACGATAGCGTTTGGTACGCATCTTGTAATTCGGCAATGATCTATATGAATATCTCCATCTACATAGTCGCATTGCTCGTTGTGGCTTTACCATACGACTAATGCGACAGAACGAGGTCGGAAGACGCCGAATTGAGTAGCTTATCGAGAGATACAACTTCGGAGGACAACTTGTAGAGGGAGGAATCCTTACAATTCGCTGTGCCAGCACTAAAACTGCGCGTCGGATGAAGCGGCACAGCTTCGGACTATTTAGTGGCAGTTAGCGAAGCACAATTGGTGTAGGCTACGATGGGGTGGATGTGATCAGGAATTTCTACATGTGTTAACGTCATGCGTGCATCTTGTCGTGCGCAGAAGAACCACCCACTTTCAAACAGCTAGACTCGTATCCTGAACCTTTAAACTTGACCGATTTATTTTCTTGCATCACAACGCAAAATCAATTACAGACATGCTGTAGTTGATCGTCGCACTTTTGTTGGCTCCGGACTAAGGTGAACTATCGTCGTTTTTTGCGAAGCTTTATGGCAGGTCTGGAGTCGTCGATTTCTCGACAAACGATCGAAAGTCAGCTCCAGCGTGGCGCTTAAAGCTGTAAAAAAGCAAACTCAGAGGACACGTTTTTGATAAACGGGCGCATGTATGTGTATATCCATAGCCGAAGCGATGAAGTTTCCGGGATGCAATCGATCCACCTGTTGCATCCAGAGAATCTCCCTGAGATCACTTTGGTCTGTATCGACAATCAAAGTGGTAGAATACCAATAGAACATGCATTGAAAATGCCACTCTTTTGATCGACATGATAACGACCGTAGAACTTATCTGAGAATTGCGTATCCAAACAGCGTACGAGAAGCAACAATTCTGCACAACAAGTTCCAACCGTCTACAGAAACGTTGCAAGATTGTTCTACAAAATGTTATGATGCGAATGAACCATGAAGTCTGCAAAACGACTGTATGCAGTGATTTTAGCTGCGCATCATTGCTGAATTTGTGCAGTAATGGGACTTTACGAACAGGTTCTGTACGATCACAGTCCGCAATATTGCTACTTACCGACCTGGCTTCAGGCACACATAGAACTACGAAGATGTGTGCAAACTCGCCGACTCACGGATCAAATGACCTACTTACAGATAGAGAGGTATGGTAAAGTTAGCAATACAGAAAGCCGGTAGCGTTATTTGCTTAATTCGGAGCCGGTCGATTCAAGGTCTAACCTTCGACCTGACCCATGTCGTGATAGAACATCTCAAACTGCTCGGATGTTTCGGTACAATTTTACAAGCGTCAACGTTTTAGGTCACGATCCACTTGATTGCTTCTTCGGACATGTAGTTGGCACTATCAGCTTACGCTTTCAACCGATCACTATGAAGCACCAAAGGTGAGCATAAGTCTCGTATACTCGTGTGCGATTCTACCGCCTGGCGCAGCGCAGACGGTCTTGGCGCTCTGAGCTGTACGCGTCATTGCAAGGAGCATCACAAGATGGCGGATAGAGCTGCCAGCATCGCAATCGACTCTAATCGACCGGTGCAAACAGCGGTAGTCGACAAATGAGCTATCCTCGACGATATTGCGCAATATCTCGACAACGACGGTCAGAAGTGGATCTACACAAGCCTGGCGTCAGAGTAGATGGTCGCAGCAACAAGCGACCAAGTAAGCGAAGCAAGCGCACCGCACTTGCTTTCGTATAGCCAACGCAGTAGTGACGAACACTCGTCGTCTGCTACTGGCGTCCAGTATCTTGTGTTAACGTAGCGGTACTTCGTAGTATCAACATCGCGGCCATTAGAGATTGTCAAAAGTATCTCACTGAATCTCACCTCATCATCATCATTGTGTGCAATTTTGACAGATATGCTGTGAGCAACGTTTGCTAGATTCATGGACAGCCTTCGTGTCGATAATAACAGCGACTCATCGTCTTGCTGTTGAAGCCGACGATAAAGTCTTTGTCGTCAACTTTGTCACCCCCACAGTTGACATCGTTATGCAGCAGGAGCTCCACGTTGTCACGATGCATCTATCCATCATAGTTTGCTCAGTGATTCCTTCGCTAGAATCAAAGTAGCATAAGCTTCATCTTAAAAAGTAACCTCGCCTATTCCTCCGCCACACGTACACATACTTGATACCACAAAAAGCTCAGCTCCCCAAATCAATCTGCTCCTAACCCCATGCCCTCCTTCCTCTCCACCCCCTTCAGTAGCTTATCCCTTCGTCCAACATCACCTCGTCTCATTCTCGTGTGGCACACTTCTCGTCACCAGTGCTGTCGTGTTCTGCACGAACGTCCGGGTCAATATAAATCTCCACGAACGACGAAGGCCGCCACCACGTCCTCGCCAGACGCCACTGAATTCCTTTGTCCTTAAACTTCTTTTGGTCATTTAAACGTCTTAATTGGAGCTGCAAACGACGCTCGGCCTCCCGAACTTGCGATGCAGCACAATAAAGCGAGAGTCCCAGCGTGCAGATGCAACAGCCGTAGCCGAACCCCTTACAAGGCAAGCACGGCCAGTGGTCAATCAGAGCGTCGTTGATAGAACTAACGGCCTTCGCAAAGTCTTCGCGGGTCATTAGTTCCACCAAGCGCTCGGAAGTTGGAAACTCGTCGTCGTAACTGGACGACAGGCCGTTCACAAACACTTCACCCGTTGGCTTCAGCTCGGCCAGTCGTTCATGACGTAATGGCCTCGACATTTGCCACTTTTTTTCGTACCCACGGGCTGTTCGATTGACGAAAAATCGGCAGATGGTCGTACATTCATATTTTCTTCGACGAGCGTATAACATCCGAAATGAACGCGGTAACCTGCATAAAACCGTTTATATACGTGGTACTATCTTTCTAGCGGGTGAAATAAGCTGGTGTTTCGTTTTCATCATGCAGGAACACACACACAACACGAGAATATTCAACACACTCTAATTGGTAGATATCGTCCCCACCTTCTTGAAAGGTCCAATATGGCGCGTCTGTGTTTAAAATGCCCATGTGACAGCATAGAAAGTATCCGAACGTCGTATCAACCGCAATGGCGTGAAGTCTGTACCCAGTTTTACTTTCATCAAGACGAGGTAGCCAAACGCGTTTTGGACTGTTTCGAAGCGAGCAGAGCGGACGATTTCAAGAGTTTGGGGCCTCAGGCAGACGAAGTTTGGTGCGTTCTTTGTTCGGTCCATTGAAGACAATTGGACCAAACCTGGAGCTCTTTGCTTGCTTTTTAGTGACGCTTTTTGCCCCGCTGCAGTATTTCCACAGTAGATGATACCAGAGCCGATGATCAAGTCCGTGATCTCGTGCAACTGCTGAAGATGCACAAGTGCAACGTACCTGGTCATGAACCGAGTTTTGGCCAAGTGTGAGTGGCGGGTAAAGCTGGTCAACTGATAGTTGAGACAAGTACTGATGCTGTGGATTAACAGAGTTCAGATGCTGGAAGCGGTGAAGAGCGCGGTTCGTGCGGAGTATCATGACCACGTCTCGACTCAGCGGGTACGGGTTCAATGCTGCGTGGTGGTGACGTGCTTTGGATGATGAATGCTGATGTAGGCGCGAAATTGTGGTAGTATACGGAGTTTGAAGCGCGAGCAGAGGAAAGTCAGGGAACTAATTACGAAGTGTGGACGGAAGCCAATGGCCAACAACGACTGTCAGTGCGCGTCCAGCACGACTATCTGCGCTCGAAAGCGAGTTACACTAAAATGGTGGAGCGCCTCGAGGTGTTTATTGCAAAGCACTTGCCCAATATTGGTTGCCATCCTTTCTTGGCTGGACTTCGGTCCGCATTGCAGTGGAATCTAGAGAGCTCTACCGTTGTCGCATGGAAATGTACGTGGACTCACTGGGTAGTTGCGGCATCGCTGACCCTCTCGCGAACTCATTGCAACGTCTTTTGTTGTTGTTGCTGCAGTACCTGATTCCGTGTTTGTCGAAAGCGGTGATGCCGTCTTCACACACAACGCACTGAAGCTAGTGGCATCTGCACTGAACTTCAGCCACTGCAAGAGCGCTGATACGACCGCCAAGCCTGGCACCTCGCGCGACGATCGCGTGAAAACGCGCGACTGGTTGTTGGACCCGTATCTATCGGACCACGATATCCGTCACCTCGTGCGTCTATTTCCTGCTGCAAAGCGTCTCGAAGGGAGACCAACTGGCAGTAAACTGCTCACGAAATTCGATCGCGTCAATGTCCATGGACAGCAAGACGAGAGATCGCGTTTTTTTTTCGACCGGTGGTGCATCGTCCTGTAGGAAGAAGGTAGTGAGTGAGTCAGTTGTCCAACCTCGTTTGACAGTCGTCGACCTGAAGCTCCATTTCGAGTCGTAGGATGACGATCTCGATTGTCCCTGGTGGAGTTTGTAGGTTCCAACCTATGATAAAGCATGTCCGAGCCTTCCAACCCGTCCGTCCGTCCATCCATCCAACCTACAAACTCCACGTGGCCACCACGAACTCTCGGAGCTGCTGGCACTTGCTGCGTGACTAAGACGCCCTCTATTGACGTCATGGCTCTGCAGAACCAACGGATCTCTGTCCTGCTTTTGCTGGCGCTCCTCGTTCTTGTCCTGCGCGACGTTCGGGCGTTCAATTTCGGCAACTTTGGCGGGGGTCAGCACGACCAGGACGAGCTCGCGAGCGAAGACGTCGACTTTTACGAGAGTACGAGTGTCTTATCCAAGTCACGGGGTTGCTATATTAATGGATACTTACCGACCTAACAAATTTGGCTTTTGCTCGCTTGTTTGCGGCAGCGCTGGGACTTACTATGGAAGCTTCCGAGGTCGAGATTAAGAAGGCGTACCGCAAACTGAGTCTCAAGTACCACCCGGACAAGTACAAAGGCGACGAGGACGCGGACAGTCGATTTCATGCCATTGCACGCGCCTACGAAGTGCTGTCGGACCCGCAGAAACGCCAAGTGTACGACCTTGAAGGGACCGACGGCCTCAAGCGGGACGAGGAGCAGTCAAAAGGGCGTCCGTCCAGTCCTTTTGACGCGTTTTTTGGCGGTGGAAGCGGCCAGCAGCAGCGAGGTCCGGATGCAGCTGTGGACATGCCCGTGACGCTCGAAGAGCTCTACAATGGCGCTCAGAAGCAAGCGCAGTTTTCCCGCCACGTCATTTGTCGCAAATGTCGAGGCACGGGAGCGAAAGGGGGCAAGACCAGTCCGTGCACGAAGTGCAGAGGCAAAGGCCACGTCATTGTGGAGCAGCAGGTGGGACCGGGCTTTACCGTGCAAATGCAGCAGCCGTGTCCGAAATGCGGCGGACGGGGCAAGACGTTCAAGGCGGCGTGTCCGTTCTGTCATGGCCACAAAGTCGTGGAAGAAGACAAGGTGCTGACGGCTGAAGTCGAGCGAGGCATGCCGTCGACGCATCAGATCGTCTTTGAGCGAGAAAGCGAGCAGCATCCTGGGATGGTGCCGGGAGATGTGATCTTCCGCTTGTACCAGGTGCCCCACGATCGGTTTCGGTACGTCAATGCTTGGTTGTTGATGTGTCTCGTATGCTTTTGTGACGATAGCTAGTGGCTGACGGTGCTGTGGTGTGGTGTGTGTTGGCATGATCTTCTGGTTTATAGTCGAGCGGGCGACGGCCTGCACTTGGATCTAGCGATCTCGTTGGAAGAGGCGCTGTTGGGTTACAAGAAGCCGATCGAGCACTTGGACGACCGTACAGTGGTGCTGAGTAACTCGCAGGTTACGACGCCGTTCGAGGTCCGCGTGGTGCAGAATGAGGGTATGCCCGTGCACAACTACCCTTCTCAGCTTGGCGACCTGCATGTCCGCCACGAGATCCGCTTTCCAGCAAAGCTCTCGGTTGAGCAGAAGGAGCTCGTAAAGAAACTGCTGCCCGAAGACGAGGTCACGGCTGTCGAGTAAGAGTCGAAAACATGAACAACCATGCTGCTGATTCAATCCGTTTTTGCTCTCGATCTCGCCTATGGATTTGCGCCGCGTGGTCGATTTCACAGCAGCTGTTGTTTGCAGAAATTCATCAGTCGTTTCGTCGCTGCCAACCCGAAGAGGACCTCATACGAATTGCGCCCAGCATGACGACCGCCAAGACACTGGAGCAGTGGAAAAGTGCTTCACCCCCTGCGTTGTTCAATGGATCGTCTGCCTTGCGCCTACTCACGTCTTGCTGTTTATCATGATGATGTGACACAGAAGAACAAGAAGAACTCAAGCAGCAGCTAGTCGAGGTGGACGCCATCCAGTGGCAGCTGCACCCTCTTGCAGCGACCAAGGTCAACCACCCCGTTCTACAACGAGTTGCTGGAGTCGACATCAGCTTCTTGAAAGACTCGGACGAGCACGCGTGTGCCTCCCTCGTCGTGCTGGACTATCCGTCTCAAACGATGCTGTATGAAGCTTTCATCTACGTCTCGCTGCCTGCTCCGTACATTCCCGGGTTCTTGGCATTCCGGGAAGTGCCAGCTCTGCGAAAGCTCTACAATGATCTCCGTTGTCGCTGTCCAGGTGGGTGGCAAAACATCGTGAAGGTCGACGCAGTTCAAAGTGGTTGTTGACATCGATGGCTTTTGTGCTGTAGACCTGCTTCCAGACGTGACCTTAGTGGACGGCAACGGGGTTTTGCATCCCCAGGGCTTTGGTCTCGCCTCCCACTTTGGTGTGCTGGAAGGCATTCCCACCATCGGAGTTGGCAAGACGTTCCTCCACGTGGATGGTCTGACGAAACCTGTTGTGAAAAACCTGGTGGATAAAGCTCGAGAAGAAGAGAAGCGCGAGGTGGTGAAGCTCAGAGGCAAGTCTGGAAAGGTAAAGTCGCTCTGTTCTATGTGTCGATCAATAAGACGAGCAGGTACGAGGATCTCATCCCTATTACGCCTCGGTGTTTCCACTACTGCCGTTTGGTCTGCTTCTTGGTGACCTACAGGTGTGGGGAGCTGCACTGTGCAGCACAACTGCCGTCAAGAATCCCGTTTACGTATCGATCGGACATCTAGTGTCTCTCGATACGAGCGTCGCAATTGCTCGAGCTTGCTCCCAGTATCGCGTGCCGGAACCCATTCGACAAGCTGATCTCCGTTCCCGTGCCGTCATTAGGGACTGGGTCAGCTCGAACACCGTTGACACGACGTTGAACCTGTACCATGTACCCACGTCGCAAGGACTCTAGATCTGGTCGGTTGGCTACCACCACCTCTTGGATAAATTGTAGGTGGAGGTAGAGATCAAGCTGCAAGAGCCCCGTCCGTCCGTCCGCGCCCCCCACCTCCACGAGAACTTGGTACTCTCAAATAACTTAGGTTGTTTCAAATAAAGAAGAGAGAGAGAGAGACAAAGTGGCCTCGTCCAAAGACGCCTCGCATCCTCATCCTCACCGCTCCCTTCAGCAGCCAGCTAGTTTACAGCTGCAGACTCAGAACCATGGACAGGAACCGCCAGTCCTGTCGCGGCACTGGCGCCACGGTCACTCCCGACGGTGACCGTGGCGATTTGACGTCTTCTTTCACGTTCTGCCAGTCCGTTTCCACCTTGATCACCACGTGGTCTCCACCACCTTGGACCTGCTGCTGGTGCTGCTCCTTGTCAAAGCTGCGGAACAGCGTCGCAAGCGGGAGCAGGTTCATCTTAATCTGCTGCTCGACAGTCTCGAGCTGCGTCAGCGACACGCGCCGCAGCCTCGCGGGGTTCATGAGCAGCAGCGCCCGGAGCTTCTCGAGCGTCTGCACCGTGCGCACGAGCTTCAGCACGACTGCAGGCGACACGGGCGCGTCGGGGCAGGCGGACCCGGGGCCGTACATGAGCACGGCCTTGAGCTCTTGCACGACCATTGAAATGTCGTCCAAGTACTTGCGTCGGAGCTCCGCCGTCACGGCGACAGCGACAGCAGATGCTCGAGGATGAGGTCTCGTGAATTTCTCGAGCGGTGGCAAGACCGGCAGACCCAACGACGTGGCTGGGTTCAAAGGGGCTGTGGTGGTAGTGAAGCTCGTTCGAGGTCTAGCAGTAGTAGTAGCGGAGTACAATGGGAGACTGGGCGGACCCAAGCGCATGCGTTTAAACTCGGGGGTCCATCCGCTACTGTGGCGATGTGCGGTTTCTAGGGAGGCACCAGAGGGCGGCATTGCGTCTTGGAAAAGCCGTCGACTGAACTGCGAGAGGCTGGCGGCAAATCGAAAAGTGAGTGAGCAACTGAGCGACTAAGCGACTGACTGGGCGAGTGACTGACGGACCGATAGATAGAGCGATGGAGCGAGCGTCCAGTTGTCTGCCCTTTGCACCACTCACGTTGATGGTCGTCTGATTTTTCTCAGCCAGAGAAACCCCACGACTTGGCGTTTGTATGCGAGTGCGGGAGAAAGCAGCAGCACACAGCGCCGGCAGCCGAGCGACTACTGACTGCCCCCCCCCGCATGCAAAAACAACACAACAGCAACAAAAGCGGCTGCTGTTGCAGACCGACAGTTGTGCGGTCCTCGATTCGCGTCCTTTTCGTCAGCTGCTTCTGCTTCTACATGTTCCTTTTTCCACTAAACGGACGGACGGACGGACGGACGGACGGACGGACGGACGGACGTGGTGGTTGTTTTCTTCTTAATCTTCTTCTTCTGTAGCGTTTCGTATCATATCATCGTCCGAGACAAAAGAGCTGGACGGAAGGCAGGCGGATGATCCCTGCTCGACAACAACCGCCTCCGTTCGTTGATCTAGTGCAGACTGTGCTCGTCCCACACGTCTCTAGCCTGTGCACAGGGCCGAACTTGCCCGTCCGGTCTTTCTTCGTCCTCGCTTCCAAGCACGTGGGCGAGTCAATTGTCACGTCCTTCGGTCCGATCGTCGGATGGGACGGACGCCACGAATTTCGCTGACATGATCAGCACGTGGCGAATGTAAAAGAGCTGCGCGCTGTCGCACGACGTCAAGTCGACGACAACCGAGCGACCGAGCGATCAATCGGTCGGTCGGTCGTCACCTTGGCAAGCAACTCGTTGTTCACTGTTGTCCGCGCAACTGTACGCTGCGAGGTACAAAAGGCACCGGCTTTTGACAGGACGACCCCGAGCGTGCACGCAATCGTAGACACAGGAGCGAATTTCCTAGATCCGCAAGTAGGAGTCGAGGCTTCCACCCGTCGATCGATGATCACGCGTCATTGTGGCAGTAGTTTCTAACCTAAATGAGACGCTTCGCCTTGACAGTAGTGAGTGGTGCTGAATGACACATCGACGACAGCGTTCGATCGTGCCGCCGCTTGCTCAGGACACGCTTTCGATGCCAAAGTCAGCACGACGTGTTTGGCTCGAGTTTAGTATCCGGGATTCCTCTCGGAGATCCCGTGACGCCGAGCTCCTGGTTGATGTCGACGCTAACTTACAGCGCGAGTGTGTCCCCCATGGAGGGATTTGGCGCCGCAAAACGTCTCGGTGACGTCCTGTGAGCGGTTTCAGCTCAGTCTCAGCGGCATTGGGGTAGTCGCAATGCGACACTCGTCCTACTGTCGACGTGGTCGTCTTGAGACACTTGCCACGACCACTGTAGCAGCCGAAAGGTACTGGGTGTGGTCATGATGCACTGTAGCACCAAGTTGGTCTGAGACACAACACTCTGTGGTAGACTTCAAGCTGAGGGAGGATGAGGTCGCATCCAAAGCGAAGTGGATGTCGACGAAGTCTTTGTAGAGAACCGGAGCGATCGGTGACAAGTTCGAGCTTGGCATGTCTCTGTCTTTGTTCGATCAGATGAGTGGGGAGTGACGTCGCCTGCCTGTCACTCAGCCAGCCACGATCGCCGGCGTTTGCTCACCCGATAACAATAGCCGTCTGCAAACATATAAAACGGCCGAGCAGTCTCCAGTGCGACACCTGCAACAGCTCCAGCGCCCAGTCTTGGGGTTGAACTTCAGCTGTAAGCAGGTGGATGGATCGGAGATCGGGACGGCGTGAGAAGGACCAGGTAAATGCAAAGCGGTGGTGGTGGTGTGTACCTTGGAACCAGGCGATGCTACAGCGACACATTAGAACTTGATGAAGGTGGCAATGTCGTCTTTCTGGGTACTGGCATTACGTGCGGGAGCTGTCGTAGCTAGACAGCATAGACTACCACAAGTTATGCTTGTCGGCTATGGCATGCACCAGGCAACAGCAGGAGTAACAGCAATAGCTCCAATCGACCAAATTCGGCGTCCATTCGTTCGATCCGACTGTGCAGGAGGTACTCTACCCTGTGCAGACTTACTCAAGTCGGGTCCAGTGTTTTCAGGAATGATCACAACGTAGTACGAGCCTGATACACTCGAGTGTACATTCGTTTTGCATAGTGTATCCGATGTGGTTCGTAGCTAAGCACAAAGCCGACGTTATGATCAGCTCTGGGTCGACCGAGTGCCTCCTGGCCGACCAAACTCGCATCAAAGCGCCTCGAGCACGATCGGAATCATCTCGCAGTTACTAGGTCGTATCGTAGTGCCCAATGTGACGGCACAAATGGCTTCGATGATACTAAGATGCGCGGCTACAACGACGTAGTGCTCCGGCACTTCTCGAAACAGCTCGAGCAAAAACGCGCGAGCGCGCTGCTGAATCTCCTCTGTCGTCTCACAATGTGTCGACGACCACAGCTGGTCCTCCTCGCTCTTCACCCGTGAAAAGTCGACTTGTGGAAACCTCGACTTGAGCTCCACCAGCGGTCGCCGTTTGTTGCACGTGTGACAATCGAGCACCTCCCGACAGCTTTCGAGGCACGTGAACGGTTCAGCGGGCAGCTGCTCCTGGGTGAAAAAGTTCTGTGCGGTCTGAATAGCTCGCGAAATGGGCGACACCACGATCCGTTCGATGCGCGGCATGCCCCGATCGAGCTCAACCTGTACACTGTGCGGTCCTTTTGCGCGTGCGTCTTGGACACCAAAGGGGGTGAGCGGGGCATCGAGGAACGCAATTGTCCGAGCGAACTCGTCTTCCCATCGGGGAGAGCCGTACTGCAAATGGGCCTCGTTGTGAGTCCCTTCTGCATGGCGCAAGAAATACACAACTTTGATCTGGCGCAAAGCTCCATCAAGGCGCTTCTCTTGCTGCAACTGCGTCACTTGTCGTTGAAAGGCAGTCCAAGACGACGGGATCCTCTCGAATCGTGCAAAGAGCGGACAAGCCGGAACCAAAGCATTGGGTTGACTCGGTGCCTTGAAAGTGAAAAAACTCTCGACGGCCTTCACGAGTGTTGGCGCAAAAGCGACCGGGGGATTCGTGGTCTCCGTCATGCTGGTGGTATAAGGGTGACCACGGGATATCCTGGACAAAGGAGCAGTTGTTAGGTAAGTGAGACCGCCGCAGCTGTATTTGAAGCGGCTATTACTATAATTTCGTTGATAGCATACTGCCAAGAGCCATGCAGGGAGGGGGTCGTTCGAGGGGGATGCTCGAGAAGCGTGTGTCCAATCAGAACCCGCTTGGTGTCGTATGATATTCATTTGCGTTGGGATGGATTGACTTGCTCACTTTTGCAAGGCGCTTATGGGACTCCATCTACTTGAATCGATGGGAAAAGCGGCATTCTACGCTTGCCCGACGTTGTAGCGCAGAGGTAAAGTAGAGTGAGTGTCACCCGCTCGGTTGCAAATATTGGAGAGACTGTGAAACTGTGTTGGATGAACGCAAGTCCAGTGATGCCGCGTGAAGAAGGCGTAGGTGATAGACAGTGGGCGGGCTGAATTGATCCGCAGCAACTTGATCGGACATGTAAGCTGCGATCCTGCCTGCCATCAAACCTGATTGAAACTATCAGCGCATTGTATTCGTGAGCGTCAATAGGCTGGACGTCACCAAAGAAGCGTTCGGATTATATTTTTTGGTCGTGGACCGATGTTGTCTTCATGTTTTCTCGATGTGCTCTGTTGAGTCTATCCGCCGTTAGTGATGCTGTTCTTTAGAAAAGGCCTGACAGGCTGCGTACTAGTCACAGATAAGTTGTCACAAGAGCAGCTACATTCGCTGATGTGATTAGGCGCAACGAAAGAACACTCTGCTATTGCAGCCAAAGGGAGATCGAGGATACAGTCGCAATGTACAGTAGGAGAGGTATCAAGCAGGGTATCAGGAGAGGTATCAAGCAGTACGTGGATCAGCGCTTAGTGTAGTCCAGGGGATAATCGGAAGCCTCTGGTCGTGCTTTGTAAAGAGATTCAAGCTATCCGATGCAATGCGATGTGGTACGTTAACCCACAGAGCTGAAGTACATCTACCACTTAGATGTGAGTGGACCTTGGGCGAGACGCTTTGAGTTGAAGACCTGTTCGGTCGACGAAGGTTGATAAACCTACGGGATAACTTTGCGTTACTGTCAACAGGATTAAAAATCAAGCTGTCACTGATCTTCGTGCTGTTCATGCGAAATCATGTCCAACAAGACGGCATTACAGTGCGAAACGTCACTTCTGGCAAAGGCGTAGAAAGTTTCCGTCGTGCCCGATGAACACGCACATTCTGTAAGTAACTATCACCCTGTGACAGAACATGGCGTTGATGTATGTATGCATTTTTCTCCAACACAAGAGAAAAGAAACGACTGTTGATGTTGTCGAGTGGATCGTTCGCTCGTGCAGTCTTTTTATATTGCCTGGTCAGCTCACGCGAGTTCCCAAAACATAATCAAACCCGAAGTGAAGTACCCACTCATTCTGCGAGCCGCAAAAGATGGATGAAGCGTATCGATCAAGACCGTGACATTGAGTCCATCTAAGCTGTTTGCGGGCATAGTTCAGCGATGGTTTCGTTCAACGTAAGCATACGTTGTTTGTAGAGTTCAATATTGAACGTAAGAGATTGCAACGAACGCATTTGCATTACCGATAGGTTGAGCGTCACCAAAGACGTGCACCGGGTAAAGGATAAGACTCCATTTCAGGAAACCATCACGAATCCGACATATCTCATGAATGAAAGGCCATTACACAAGATCGCACTGTCGATAGGAGCAGTGTCACGTAGTTCGAACTGTGGCACTCCACCTCGAATGAATACCTGAACTTTTCATTTAATCACCAACGCGTTGCTTTGATTGCGAGCCGGAAGGGTGAAGCTATTAGTGACTGTGCGCAAGGTTGAATGCCGAGCTTTTAAATCGTACTTATCTGTGCGCGTATGTGCGTCTGTAAATAACGCGGTTAGGTGTACCCTATTCGTACGAAGTGCGATCAAACCTCTTTCTCATCATAGGTATAATCAGAGCCACGATTTCGCTAGGTCACTATTATGACGCACGCTTAGGATTGGCTTAAAATCGGTCAAAGGTGATCATGATCACGTAAGCAAATGCTAGACGCTCATTTGCAAAGGCTGATCGCGTAACCCAAGTATACTGTACTCGCGTAACCCAAGTATACTGTACTGGGTTGTTACAGACATTGACCGCATCATACTGTACTGGGTTAGTCTAGACATTAACGGCATCACACTCCTTCATCAATGACTGCTGCTGTTGTATAGTGTTTTCCAACTTGATTCAGTTCTCCGAACTGGATTGCTCCTTTCAAAGAGCGAGCTCCAGAGCTTGGTCCCCTATCTTATTGAATGAATGAGTAAGAACACATTTTCGTTTGGAAGTTCTTACCACCAAGACTTGGTGCAACCACTCTACGAAATGTGAAGTGTGTTTGGAGCATGGGTTGGAAAGAGGCCGTACGACGCTTGATAGAATAAATCACCGATCGCCGAAACGTTCCGATCGTGTACGGTCACATTACGCTACTACCGTAACTGGGCTAACGCTCATTCTTCAGGCCAAACATAAAGCTAGTTGTATTTATCAGCTCACACACATCACCTAGCTCGACGGGTGCATTGCAAAATCAGAGAACCGGCAATCTTCTTTAAAAGTACCACAGTGAAGAACGTGATATCTCCTGTAATGGACCCGCAAATAATAAGTGGGCGGGGTTCGTCAGGCGGATTTATTCACGAATATGTCAACTCGATGCAACTCAACTGATCACTAAACGATTTACTTTTATGCCGTGTACTACAATGATGTCTACGATTTGAATTGCAAATAGCAATATGCTCAAAAATGACGATGTGACCCCGATGATGTGGCGGGATCTACATCTTCATGCGATGAAAAGAGGCTTAGCAGAAATCTAGCCAGGAAATCGTCAGAGCGCAATTGTAATAAGCTGTCAGGTCGGCTCAGACTGATTGCAATGCTGCTGAGAAAATGTCACATTTTTGTGACTTCTAGAAAATAGCAGATTGTCAAGCGGGTTAAGAAAAGTAAGGCAATGTCATCTTGCGGAAGCTTCAAGCTCTATTTTTTGAAAGCGTCAATACGGGCTCCGCAAAATGGAGACAATCGTCTAAGCGAGACATGATGAGCAACAACAGGGCTAAATGAGCTGCACGCGAAAACCTAGTGCGAGGCCATTCAAGGAAGTAAAAGAGATGACTCGAACAATGTGGATTTAAAGGACAAGCACCAAAACACCATAATGGTACGTGGTGTGTAGGCCATCGAGATCAACTATACTGCTTCCGACAAATGTGAATGTGCTACAAATGAACGTACGTCGATTACATTGATTCTTTAGTCGTTCCGAGTGACATCTATCATAGAGGCCATGATAGCTTGATCGCACGTCATATGCGTTACGTTCTTTTCCTTTCGAATTAACACAGAAATGGGGCGAACCACATGCAGGAAGCTCATCTTTTCATGCGACGGACAGCTTGGCAAAGATATTAGCACTTATTCGATAATGGCTGCTCGGTTTGTATTTTATATCCTAAAATGAGCCCATTCTGCTCAATTTAGGATATAACATACGATCCAAGTAGCCACCGCAGTCGTCTATTTTGAAAAGCGCCATGTGTTGAAGCTAAATTGAAACGAACCGTAAGTTCAATCTCTATTTGGAATCACTAAACAACCACAAATTCATGCACCGAGTTCTGATGCAGGTTTGAGTTATGTAAACACAAGCGTAATCAAGTTTTGCTTGAACTGAACACTTGAGTCTCTATATATGTAGTAAAATTTGGCTAGTTTGGATCATCATGAAATCTTGTGATGATGTGTCTATGGCCCTTGTTAATTGGTATCCCTTAATAGAGCATCGATAGATCGGTTCTCTTAGCCATGGGGGAATCGTGATTTCACGAGGGGCGTTGGTGCATGATTTCTTCTTACCAGTCGCCTGCATATAACAACAATGCTGCGACAATGATTTTTACGTGGCCATCGTACGCCGCCCTCACGATTGAACTATTCAGGCTATTGTCGATATGAATAATAATGAGTTGCATGTCGGTAAATAATGCATTGAAAGGAGGAACGCTGCAAAGCGCTTACTTAGCTATCCATCCCTTTCCTTGCAATTCGACGATCTCCTCTAGCCCTGCTCGTGTTGTAAACAAATGCGAACATCTTATTTAAGGCATTGTGAGCACGCTCTATGTAAAGTCACCACTTCTTTGGTCAGTTGTACCCTGCGTGCTGACTATTCTCAGACAGAATGAGATCGAAGCCAAATTAAGGCTTGTATGGTGATACATGGTAGCTAGGTGGGGTACGAACCAACCGTCTGCATCAAAGCCATTGAATGCATTTATGTAAAGGAGCGTATGTTCAATGCATTCAACAAACAGACGAAAACCGATCGTTTCGATCAAATACAGCCTCAGTCGTGTAACCTGACTGTGTCACGCTATCCCCTTGGCTTATAATTAAAGCGCTTTACGGTGCTCCCACAACTACGGGGTGCCTCAATTGTGCGAGCCACACCAATTGGCGGTTTCCGAACAGGTTTGACTTTCGCTCTATCCTACAGGTAGTATGTTGGCACAATCTTTGATATTCAAAGTCGGCACAATCTTTAATATTCAAAGTCGGCACAAGATACGCATCAGTGCTGCAATTGACTTTTGCAACAACTCATCTTGTTATCTGTGCATAAACGATAATTTGCTCGTTACAATACATTGTGGCAGCGTGGAATTGCACATACCGAGACAGTCACACTCAATCGTATCCGAAAACTCTTCTACTTGCTACGCGAAACTTGCCCAAACCTTGGTAGCAGCTGCTACGTCGAGTTCGCTGTATCGTGATCGTACTGTATCGCGAACGTACGGCGTAGTGTAGTGCAATGATTCTGCCTAAGGGGTTTACCAAATTTGGATTGAAAGTTCGAATCTAGGATTCAGAAGCCATGAATGTGTCCTGGTTGTCATATCTCGACCAATTGTACTGCGTCCTACACCCAGTGCCAGTTATAAGAATCAAGAACGTGTGTTCATTCCTGCAGTACATCGAGTCACATGTTTACAAAACAAGTTCTTGACAAGTTTGACGATTACCAAGCTTCCTGGCAGCTAAAGTCATATCGGGCTCAGCGCCACGAGTTGAGTATTCGATGAGGCCACACCAATCGTTTTCATCAAGAGGCTGACCCATTGCCGGTTCTCCAAATCAGCCTCTTTGTCCATCATTTTTCTAGAATCAGATGCATGTTCTGTATGTCAATCCGCTACCCCTCAGCGCATTTTTCCTCTAGTCAACCTTTATGAACTTGCTGTTCAACGGAAAGGCCTTCCCGTCTCGTCGTAGCAAGCTGGGACTGTGCACGGGCACGAACCAGTATGGAAACTCGCGGAAGGTGCCGAACACCTCTTGAAAATTGAGCATCACGCCCATGTTAAAGTAGTTTACATACTCTGGGTCAGCGCGTTTCTCACAGTATTCAAGTGTGCTGTAGTTGTTGGCCACAAAGTACAGATGCACCACGTAGAAGCACGCCAGCGCAATCCCCAGGCACGCGCTGCCGACGAACACACTTACAATCTGCGTCAGCACATTCAATATAGTAGCAGACACCAATCGTGAGTTACACAAATGATAGGTGCATCGATACCCGCCATTGCAGCTTGTGTTTACCAACCTGTAGGTGAGAACTGAAGAGCACGAGCTTTCCAACAACGTAAAGCGTCGCAGCTCGATTAAGACTAGTTGCTAGCACGTATCGAAACAAGAGACTGCTCTGGTACAAACACGTTGCGGCACTCCAGCCGAGGAACAGGACAAAGAATTTGTAGTTGTCGTACCCAATGCACCTATCCACACAAAAAACGGCAACCAGAACGTAACCACAAGAAATTACCTGCTTCAGCTTGCGTCTCGCAACCCGAAAAAAAGTTTCAATTTAACTACAATGTAGCCACGTACTTGTTTAAGAAGACACAATGGTGGTCCATCTTGAGCACGCAGCGTCTACAGGAGCTACAATGATGCGTTCGGTCGGGTTTCACTGCGCGACATTTTCGGCAAACGCGCACGGCGCCATTTGACTTGACTTCAGTATGTGCATCAGAAAGTGCCGTGACTTTTTGCACAATCAAAGCCTGTATTTGCGGCTTTGAAAGCGTCTGACGAGGCAGAAACGAGTGCTGCGACCGCAGCGTCTGCACCAAAGACCAGCACAGAAGGACCGTCAAGCAGTGGAAGAAAAGCACTTCCCAGGACGAGGCACCGCTGAAGAGCACGCGATTTTGGGCGAAAAAGACAAACGACGAGTACAAGTACCCGATTATGCCTATAATGATACCAGGTGGGACGTAATACAGTGAATGGGGCACTGGCCCGTCACAACAGCAGCAGCACGAGCAGCTCATTACGCTGGCCACGATTCGTTACAGTCGCCAAGAGTTAATATCTGGAGGGTATCGATCGGTAAGTTATAAAAACTAAAGGTTAAAACTCACCGCTGTCCAGAAGGTTAAATTATATTAAGATCGCTTTTGTCAGAGTGCTCTTTTTGTCATGTTTTGATTATGGAGTGCTGTATTTCGCAGGGTCGGGCAGTTTGGCAGTGGAACGCTCTCCGAGTGTCGCGATTTTGCGTCTTTCATGGCTACAATGTCCTCGATTTGGCGTCCGACCCGGAGCTAGAGCAGCCGAAAACGAAAAGATGAAGCTGACAAAGTGAAAGTGTCTGTCAGGAGAAGGTTGAGGCAGAAAAGAAACATGAAAAAGCCGTGCTATGGAAGATGGAGGCAGGTTTCAAGCAGGGACGAGAGAGAGACAGAACGGGTGTCTTTGGTAGGTGTGCCGACACGAAGTTGAGTGTCGACAGTAGTTGCATTTTCCACAGCAAAGGCTACTTGGAATGAGACTACAGCGCTCGACAAAACTCAGCGAAATGTTTTGATTTAAGGCATTAAGTACCATTGCTTTACTCGTTTCACAAGCACCCAATGCTTGATTGTGGATTATGCAGTGGTTGAATGATCGCACCATTTTGCATTGGCAACGAACCTCAAGATATGAGCGTGTCTGGTCCTAGATTAAGCGAAGACAAATGTGCATAAGTGTACACATGTCAAGAGACATGTAGCGGGATGTCTGACACCAAGACGACTGCAATCCAAAGCAGCTATTAGAACAAGGCGGTGATTATTATATTCCCAGTTGGTGCTAGTGCAGCAGGAGATACGGCAATAATCGATGGGCACATGTGACAGCAGTTTTTTGGACGCGATGTAGACTGTCGATGATGTGAAATGATTATATAGTCAACGGATACAGCTGGCATGTGTACACGTGAAAGATGACCACGCATTATTGTATTTGCTTCAGTCGTTTCATAGCAAGTGTTTTGTGTATTTGGATCGGTTCAAAATCATGATGTGTAGACGGTAAAAATCGAAACCGAGCGAATCCGCATAATCTTGCATTAAATCTTCCTCAGTTGTTTGGTGCCGAAGCATCACATGGTTGCAATACTGTGCAGCGAGTGCAATGATCACTTCCTAAGAGGACTGTTAATTGCTTCCTCATCTTCCATACTGGCAAGTTATTGTGTTCTTTCCACTTAGCTGTTGCTAATCCTAAAGTAATTGGTCATTAGATGTCCATCGGCAGCATAACCGCCGAAACGCCGCATTTTTCACAATTGACTACACCTTACAATCTGCAACAGGATAATAAGATTTGATCAATCAGCGAAATTATTGCATCCATAGTTTTTAATTACATTGTTCCCTCTCCGACATCAAAAAAAGCTACGCGCCACTAACAGCTTGGTATTCACATCCACAATTTCAATGTGCAAGTTCAAAAAATCTTGACAAGAAGGAAAAGGATTTCTGCGCGAAGGTAAAAGTACCATGCAATCTCTTCGTAGCACATACTTGAGTGAGCTTATGAAGTCTAATACTAGAGACGTTTACAAAGGATCTTATCGATTTGCATCGCTACCGATTCTGTAACGGGGCACCCTGAAGCTTGTACTGGTGACAGTACAAGCTACTTATTCTGATGACAGAATAAGGCGGTGCCTCGTAACCTCACGTACACTCGTACGTGCAGAGGAAGACGGTAAGAAGAAGCGAGTACTTGGTTAAAGTAAAAAGTAGAACTGTATTTAGTATAGTTAATGTCTGCAATAAATCACTATTTATCTTCATCTAACTATGTCTAAATACAAATGTGTAAATCAGTTATCTGCTCACCACTCATTGCGTGCGTCTGTCGTGGCGCGTCTTCGTTGGTTGATATAATGGCCTATATCAACCAATTAGGAACTACTCGTAAGTGCTACAGAATATTTGTCCTTATGACAATATTCCGAGAATATAACTCTTATAGTTATATTCTATTAACAATTTCTTATAAATTGTTATGTAACGATTCACCCCGTTACATCACCCCCCTTAACCATCAGTCACTTTAGTGACTGATTGACTAAATGGATACTCGTCCCAAATCATTTGGGACAGGGTTTGCACTTGTTGGTCCGAGTCCACTTTTCAACATCTCATCGCATGGTTAACAAGCCCATGCGATGCGCGAGCAAGGCCGCCGAGAGCGCGTCCGCACGTCTCTGTGCGGACGCCGAAGCAGAAACCACAGCAACTGATGTCTCATCGGTTGCTGAAGCGACCCAGCCTGTGTCACATGGTGATGCAGGCGCTGGTCATGAAGACACTCGTGTCTTCACAGAGTACGAGCTCGGTGTCTCATACTCTCCTGATACGGAAGACGGATCCGTATCGACGGCGATTGAATCTAAGCCGCCTGCCATGCGTGGCATGGATGATGCTTTGCGTCGTAGCATCTTTGGTTCATCTGATGAATCAGATGAACCATCGCCGAAGCGAAGGCGCTCGAGGTCGCGAGACTCGGGCGCTCACAGTGGTGTCAGTTCTCCTATGGACACCACTTCACAGCGAGGTGCCAGTACTTCTGTCGGCACGTCGCAGGAAGAGTGGGACCGCAATGTGTTGCGTCTCGCTCCTGAGAAGAAGGCATGGATGCCTCCAAAATCCGTCCTGGATCACTTGTCGGCGGCGACGAGTGATCGTTATCGAACACGATTGTTCGATTCGTCAAGGATCCATCACCTTGACCCCAGTGCGAAAAACTATCGCGCTGAGAATGAATTCTTCATCGATGCTTTCTTTAGACATCGATGGTACAGTGGGAATCACAAACGTGATGGTCCCTCACTGCTTCAAGCGTGGAACGCCTACATCCATAACCTCGAGGATATAGGTCGTGACGCTTGGAACGACAAACTTATCAAAGCTCGTGATAAGTTTGAAAAGCGAACCTTGACAGGTGCACGCTACAAGCTGCATCGTCTGTCAAGGGAGAAAGGATTACCCTGCCTCTCTTGGGGAGACTCGTGCCCATGTTGTGTGAACAACTCCGCACGAGCTCCTAAGGAGGCTTACCTCTTTAATAGCCCGTGGTGGCGCGCACGTATCTCTATTGAGATGTACGAAGGGATTGACAACTTGAAATCCCTTTACGACCGTGCCGGGAAGACTTTCTCCGGCGGTCCTTCTACAACACAGGATGTGCCGCGTCGTACTGCTCGACCAGATCCAGTACGTCGATCATCAGTTGGGAGCGGGGCTCCCAGGAATCCCAGGACGGGGGATAGCCGCGCCACCGGACGAGATAACTCGTCCGACGTCCGTTCACGTCGCGGTGGTTCAACAGCTGCTCAACTAGATAGCGCTGGCCACCGCGAGAGTCCTCTAATGGAGGTGGAGGAGGAGGAAAGACGCTCTCCACACGATCATGTGGATCGGTGTGTTCCTGAGAGCTTCTTTGATCGCGTAACGCAAGGGTTACGCGACGATCTCGAACATGAGCGGAATAGGCGTCTCCAAATGGCGGACACTGCCTCGAAGCATCGAGCTGAGTTTGCTTTTGCTCAGCTTAAGAACGAGAGATCCCTGACATCTCTTCGTGACGAGCTAAGGGTAGCTCGTGGGATTGCTGATCGGTCTTGGGATGAGATAACTGCTCTCCAGACCCTTGTTGATGCCCACCCCATCGGGAGCACAAGGCTCTCTGCGAGATGCTTGAGCGCAAGGGCGTTCTTCATCGGAAGAAGCATCGTACTGATGGTACGGCTTAAGCCGACCAACGTAAAATGTGGGATGCGTTCGCATCTTACGTGGTAACTCGATCGTGTATGCATTGCCTAGGCGGTGCAATACACGAAATGGGCCGATGTACTTGGGTAGTAGTTTACTGCTACCCAAGTTAGTCACTACATGCTTTGGTAGATTAACCGTAGACAGTAGGACTAAGTCACCTTTATTAAATAAAAGAGTATTTGCCCTTCCATTCTTATCAGCGTTTTGCTTTTGCTTATCCACCGCTTCTGCGATGGAGTCTTGCACAAAACGGACTACCGTTTCACGAGCCAGTATGAACTCATCTGATGACTCGTTAGCTTCAGTGCGCTGTGAGCGCACTGCAGCAACATCAACCTTTTCTTCAGTGAGGGCTTCCGCACTCTCACTGGCATCATCTTCTTCGATATCGATGTTATCGATATCGGCATCAAACGCAATGACCTCTTCGTCAGAGCGTGATGAGCGTGAACCAAATCGGTTTTTGCTCGCGCGAGTCCCTCCCCCCCTTAAACCAGAGTTACACTCTAGTAAGGTGGGTACACGCGGATGGCGCAAGCCATTTACGTAAAACGGTGTATGTGTCGTGGACGCATGCACCGAGTTGTTAATGGCAAACTCTACCATTGGCAAAAACTCACTCCAACTCTTAAATGAGTGTACGTATCCTCGAAGTATCTCTTCAAGGACACGATTGGCACGTTCCGTCTGACCATCTGACTCTGGATGATCAGATGTCGACATCTTCAAGCGCGTTCCGAGTGATTTGAAATGGGAACGCCAGAAATCAGCAGTGAATCGTGGATCTCTGTCTGATACGAGTTCACGGGGCAACCCATGAAGTCGGAAGATGGTGTCAATAAAGACACAAGCACAGCCACTTGCCGTGATTGTCTCTGGTACAGCCACAAGGTGTACCATTTTGCTGAATCTGTCAACAAATACGAGAATACCCGTATTCCCGCGTGCGTCTTTGGGTAACCCGAAGACGAAATCCATTGAGATGGATTCCCAGCACTCAGCCGGAACCGGTAGAGGCTGTAAAGGTGCACGCAGTGAAGGACTTGACTTCACTCGTTGACAGACTTCGCATGCGCGAACATACTTTCGCACAAACTGATACTGGCGGGGCCAGTAAAAGTCTCGACTTACCGTGAGATATGTTTTCTCGCGGCCACGATGTCCTCCTATAGGAGCATCGTGATACTCGAACATGATCCGCAAACGCAGTTCAGTATCATCTGGAATGACAACACGTGGTGTATCACCAGAAACGGCTGTATAATACAGTAAACCGCTACGAGTAGTGTATCGATCTGATGCAGATCGATACGCAGGCGACAATCGTTTCAACGATTCTCGAGATGGTTGGGAGAGATGTGTCAACAACTTCACTATCTCACCATCTTGGGCGTATGCCCGCCTCACATCATCATACAACGTTGTAGATGGGACTGAGGACGTCATTACCGCAACAGTGACTGTCTCACTGTTGGGTTTCGCGACTGTTTCAAAGTCGGGACGACGTGAGAGTGCATCAGCGACGACATTAAGCCGTCCTGGTTTGTACTCGACCGTAAAGTTGTATTCTGCAAAGAATGACAACCACCGCGCCATTCGTTGTGAAAGGTGCGGGCTGTTCACTGCCGTGCGTAATGACGCATGGTCAGTGTAAACAATGAAGGGTCTATCTCCTAATAGATAGACTCTGAACTTCGCGAGTGCATACTTCATGGCAAGGAGTTCCTTGTCATGCACTGGATAGTTCCGCTCAGCTGGTTGCAGCTGACGCGAATGATAGCAGACGACGCGTTCAACGCCTTCAAGATCGTACTGCATTAATGCACAGCCGATTGCGAAATCGCTGGCATCACAGACCACATGAAAGGGCCTGTCCTGATCGGCTATTGCTAGGACTGGAGATTGTATCAAGCTCTGCTTGGTACCCTCAAAGGAGCGCTGACATTTAGCGTTCCATAACCACCTCTCGTTCTTTTTCAACAAACGAGAGAGGTGCACAGTCATCTCGGCGTAATTGCGTGAATACTTATGCAAATACGCCGCTAGCCCAAGGAATTTTCGAAGACCTTTGACATCAACCGGCACAGGCCAGTCGGTGATCGCCTTAATCTTTTCGGGATCAGGACGTACACCGTTCTTACCAACGATGCACCCAAGAAGTGGTATTTCGCTTGCTGCAAATATACACTTCTTGAGGTTTGCATACAATTGATGCTTTCGCATGATTTTAAGAACTTGTCGGACGTGGTACCTGTGAACCTCAACGTCCGACTTTCCATCCATAGCTCGACTATGGATGAATACGTCATCGAAATAACTCGGCGCGAATTCTCGTACTGGTCTCAACAGATGTGATACACATCTGTTGAACGTGGCAGGGGCATTACTGAGCCCTTGTGGCATTACTAGCCATTCACAGAGCATGCCGCTAGGCGTGCTAACTGCGGTATAGGGTATATCCCGTTCTCGCATAAGGATTTGATAGAAGCCATCCATCAAATCCATGGACGAAAAGATGGTACTTTTTGACATACCATCAATGATTACATCCTTCCTCGGTATTGGCGTCTGAGCCGGTACCGTTGCAGCGTTCAATTTGTTGAACGCGTGCACTATCCGCCACCCTCCTGTTGCTTTTCGCACACAGAAGGTCGGAGAGCTATGTGGGGAAGTTGATTCCCTCACATGGCCCGCAGCTAAACGATCGGCAAAGAGCTTGTCGATCGCAAGTACTTGTTCACGAGGCAGTGGCCACTGCTTCATGACACAGTACTTCGAGCCTGGTTTAAGCTCGACCTCGTGTCGAATACCTTTATCCTTCGGTAATTCGCACGGAACAGTTTCAGGGAATACATCCTTGAATTCAACCAAATCTTCATAGAGAGAATTTGTGTTGAACGATTCCCATGATTGGGAGTCATATCGCTCAATTCGTGTCTTTTCATCTAGGACACTCTCGTCCATAGATGAACTACTGAGAACTCTCTCGTTCTCAGTGAACACTGTTGCTGACCTTATGTCGGTTACACACTCGTCGTCAGCGACGAGTACGCAGATCTGCTTGACTTTGCCACTACGCAGATCACGCAAGAACCTTTTGCGTTCGAGCGTTGGCAACTGAGTGATCTCCGAAGTTAACTTCGGAGGCGCAATCAGATCAAGTGTATAAGCGCCTACACTTGATCCGTTATTGACTATGACATTCAATGTCTCTGTCATTTCCTGGGGACTTATTCCCTCAGGCTTCGAAGGACTTATTCCTTCGGCTTCCCGGGGACTTATTCCCGCGGGTTTTAAGGAACTTATTTCCGCCGTATTTGTAATATTGGGACTTATTCCCTTTACTTCTTCTAGCTGGGGTTGCGCAACCACAGCGAGATCCTCTACGAAAGACTCTCCAGTCGATCTAGGATTATCGTTTCGCTTAACCTGAGCGATCGATTGTTTTTCTTCTAGATGTTCCCCGCTGGGGATACATCTTTGTCCCAGTCCACCCGACTTATTCGAGTGGTGGACCTTCGGCGCAGCCTGTGTTTCCTCACAGCCGCCGGAGCTTTGCTCCGAAGTGTAACCGTTTGGTACACTAAGGTTTTGTGCAGTCGTACTAACGACCGTACCACAAGTGAGGCCATCGCACTCACTCGTAGTACATCCACACGCTTGTGGACGCTCCAAAACGTTCATCAGATGGCCATCTGATGAACAAGCGGCATGCATCGTTACTGTTCGATGTTGCCAGTTTACTCGTGGTTCGTACCTCCTGAGCCACGGTATTCCAAGGATGACATCAAATTTGTCATCCAAATCCAATACGATAAAGTCATCGTCATATTGGGTATCTTCTAGCGTATAGTGGATCTTCACTATACGCTTCATGACGGTTACGGATGCGCCTGTCGCAAGACGTACCGTCATCCTGGTAGGAGGTGTGTCACATTCACTGAACTTAAAGTGACCATCTTCTAGCGATTGGCGTCGCACAAAATTGTTGGACGCCCCACAATCGACTAGAGCTCGAAGGGACAACTTATTCGTCACTTCGAGTTTCAAGGTAATGAGTGAGACCTCATTACCTAGAGCAGCAACGCACAACGTTTGTGTGTTGGGAGCAACCTTCATCAAGAGGCCTACAAATTCTCTTGACGTTGCTAGACCAGTAGGGTGCTCCGCACCTACTGATCCTGTCCGTTTTTTGACGGTCCATCCCGTTGTTGCGTCTTTGCACCAACAGCGGACCCTCGTCCCTGCCCCTTTCTCATGGGTGGACGGTCACTACGCCCAGTGTCGCGAGACACTGGACGAGGGGCACTACACTCGTAAGCGTAGTGTCCTGTCTTTTGACATCTGTTGCATCTCTGCAACTTCTTGTAGCCTGTAGAGCGAGCCTTCTCGCTCTCTACATAACAGAGTTCCATCGGCTCTGGACCTCCGTTGTCATATCGTCTCGGTTGATGATACGATGTCGGACCATCCGCAAGACCCTGCATGAACACCGAAACGAACGTGTGTTCATCCACCGGATTGGAACTTATACAACTCGTGAGATGTCGTATATGTTGAGCGTAAGCGTGAACATCACGCTTACCCTGTTTGAGCTTCAAGAGTTCGGTTCGAGCCCTGAACTCAGCTCTAGGCGGTTCAAACATGTGTCTGAGCCGCGACTTGAAGACTTCCAACGACCCAAACGCATATGGGTCGTGCAACTTGAGCCCCAGTGCCCAAGTCTTGGCACGTCCTGCCATATTTGACTGGGCAAATGCAACTTGCATATCCCCGTCATCGATGCGACGCGCCCTTATGGCGTCATCCAATTCGACGAACCATCTCAAGAGGGAGTCCTCTTCGACTCCCCTATACTTGGAGATGTCAATCTTCAAGGTTTCGGGTCGACGCGAGTGCATCGACCCACCAGCAGCAGCCTGCTGCTGTCTCAACAGTTCAAACTGTTGAGCACCCTGTTCTCTCAACAACTCTGCTTGTTGAGAACCTTGCTGGTGAAGCAAGGCTACTTTCTCGCGTTCAGCGTCAAGTTCATTTTGAATGAACTTGGCGATAGTAGCATGTTGAGCATATCTATTGAGAGCCTCTAGCGTGACGCTAACAGTATGAATGCCCATGGTTGAACCCATTCGTTCAACCGCATCCCATTCGACATCGCTCAAATGGGAGTAGCCGTCACGCGTAGCGTGAAAGCTTTGGTCATCTTCATCATCCAACATATTCATGTTGGATGTGAACGCGGACCTTGGATGGACTACGAAGTGCTACCAGGTGTAACGGGGCACCCTGAAGCTTGTACTGGTGACAGTACAAGCTACTTATTCTGATGACAGAATAAGGCGGTGCCTCGTAACTTCACGTACACTGGTACGTGCAGAGGAAGACGGTAAGAAGAAGCGAGTACTTGGTTAAAGTAAAAAGTAGAACTGTATTTATAATAGTTAATGTCTGCAATAAATCACTATTTATCTTCATCTAACTATGTCTAAATACAGATGTGTAAATCAACTATCTGCTCACCACTCATTGCGTGCGTCTGTCGTGGCGCGTCTTCGTTGGTTGATATAATGGACTATATCAACCAATTAGGAACAACTCGTAAGTGCTACAGAATATTTGTCCTTATGACAATATTCCGAGAATATAACTCTTATAGTTATATTCTATTAACAATTTCTTATAAATTGTTATGTAACGATTCACCCCGTTACAGATTCCTCGTCGGCATTGCGGTTTAACATGATTCTGAACAGGATCGTAAATTTAGCGCATTGCTATGTGAACTCGTCACGGCCTTCAATTTCCGATATTGCAGTTTGTGGCTCCAGCATGTCTCTCAATGATGAGAGCTTCTACACTTCGTAGATGAGATAGCTGTAATGGGATGAGCCCGTTGCATAAAATTGACACGTAGGTATCAATTTTTAGATACCTTCTATTTAAACTACCTTTATTCAACATTACTTGCAAAGAGGTGTTGACGGCGGAAAATTACCCTCGAGGGTAATATTCTGCGGTGCCCCTTTTTTATTGATGTAGACACTACATCATCCAAATTATTAACCAATCTCTGCTGGAAGCGCGCAATGGGTGGTAAGCAAAAAAACCACATAGGAGATTGTAGTTTAATATTGTTAGATCAAGACAAGGATGATTTACAAAGAAACTTAACGAAATTAAATATTGCTACTTTTCCTAAACAGAGATCCTGGTTCTGGCTACTTTGCTGCGCTTCCCCACGCCACGTGTACGTGATGTAGGGAGCACGCATTCTTGTGTTCAGTAAACGCAAGGATTTCCAGTCATCTGGTCATGTCGTGCCCCGTTACATCTGGTAGCTCTTTATACTTCGTCCAGCGACCAAGACCACCTCATTTGAAATGAACGTGTCGGGTTAGGGAGGGAGATTTAACGCTACTCGGGGAGACTTTACCTATTTAATTGATATCGAATGGAGTGCAGTAGTAAGTGTTTGTTCTATCGTAGGAGAAATAGTCCTTAACGCCATGTTAGAGTCTCTCGGCTGAAACCAACAACACGCCGCTATATCCAGATTCATTCACAATAAATTTGTCGCCAAAAGTGATAAATAGCCTTGCTTTATTAGCAAGGCTTTGAACAGGCCGAGCTTTGAGAGAAATAGGTGGTCAACAGACATAGCTGTTGAGACAGCAGATAGCTAGTGTTGCTGTGGGCGGGACGAAACACACGCGTCGTTCCGAAATCTTGAAAGTCGATATCTCCGAATACAAAAAGGTCGAGGAAGACTGTCTCTTGTTATGGTCCATCGGAATCGACAACCCCATCGAGACACATCGTATCGACGAAGAGCAAATAAAACTACACTTGCTCAAACCCACTTGGCGAGACGTGCCAAGACTTGGGCCTTAGAGCTGGAGATGAGCGACCCATATGTTTTTTAGTTACTGGAAGCTTTTAGAATCGTTTTATTTAGAGATTTGAGCCGCCACGAGCTGAGTTCAGGGCTAGAATAGAGCGGTTGAGACTCAAGCGGGGTTAGCGTGACGTGCACATCTTACGCACAGCCTATACGACTTCTCGCGAGTAGCGTAAATGCTAACCCAGTACATGAAGGAGCGTACATTAATGTGCTCATGCAGGGCTCGCAGATGGTCCCGTCAGAAATCAACTGTTCCACTTAAGGTTGGATACGCGTGAACAAGCGATCTCAGCTGTGGAACAGGAGGACTTAAGCATGAGACAGGCTCATGCTAGCTCATGATCCGATAGTCCACCGAGTCGACAAGAGACCGGAGGTCCAGAGCCAATGTACCTCTGATATGTTGAGAGCGAAAGACCTCGCTCTTCAAACAAAAAACGATTGCAGAAATGCAACCGCTGCCAGAAGTTGAAATACTACGCATACGAGGTAGTGCCTCACACCGAGTACCGAAAAATACTAAGCAAAACGATTGGCCACGTGCCAAAAAGGACTATAGACATAGATTTATAGCTGATTTGAAACCACAACCGCGTAATTAATTAGTAAAAACTGATCGGGGTCAGTAGGGGCGGTGTGCCCTACAGATCTAAGAAACTCAAGATAATTTGCAATCTCTTTAGAATGTTGCTCCAGATACACAATTACTGTGTGTCTCTGCACATATCTATGATAAATCACTCATCACCTCAAAACTGCAAGTGATAATTAATTTGCCACTTCGTGCCTTAGTTGACCTGTGGGGTGTCAAACAACTTTGTTCATCGCCAGTCGCTAGAGGACCGTAGGATCAAGTTGGTTGAGCGCGACATCCCCCTAACGAGAATGACGGTGTGTATCGCCACTGGCGCTTCACTTACTATGATGAATCGCGTAGTGGGGCTTCACTACACGTTAAGAGATTCGCAGTAAAGGATTGTGCTATCGTACTTGATTTGGATGACAAGTTTGATGTAATCCTGAAAAAATCTTGGCTCAAAAGGTACGATCCAAGAGTGAGCTGGCAACTACGAGTCGTAAAGATGCCTGACACGTTTTCATTAGATGGCCATCTGATGAATGTCATGGAGCATGTACAAGCGTGTGATATTTCTATGAGTTAGTTCGATGGCATTTCTTGCGATACGGTCTTCAGCGCGACTGCACAAGACCTCAGTGTATCTGATCCCTACACTGTGGAGCAGCATTTGGCGGCTGTACAGAAGTACAGGCAGCACAGAAGGTCCATCGCTAGAACAAGTCGGCTGGACCGGGCCATGGATGCTGCCTAGCGGGCAACATCCTAGGAAGAAGAAACGTATTGCCACAAAAGGGAAACACGTTCATCTTAGTTCAACAGTAAATAAAATCATAAAGGATCGGTACCTGACTGTCGTTGCACAGCCACAGTCGGATCACGTCGAGGAAATAAGTCCCCATAACCTTTTAAAAAATTGAGGAATTATATGCTGCGAGAACTGGCTCTCAGCATCCTGAGAAAACAAGTTCCCAGAAAGGAACCGATACATTGAACCATCTTAAACAATGAAGGACTAAGCGTGGGCGCTTAAACGCGTGATCTAATTGTTCCTTCAAAGTTAACTTCGGAGATAACCTGATTACCAACACTGCGAACAAAACGGTTCCTGCGTAATTCGCGTAGTGGAAAGTGTAAGTATATATGCATACTTGTCACAGAAGATGAGTATGTGACCGATATTCGGTCGGCAACAGTATATTCTAGGAACGAACGAGTTATCAACAGCTGTTCGATGGGAAAATGTCCTCGATGAGAAGACTCGGATTAACAATAGACGTCTCAATGCTGGTATTCGCTTCTGGCAAATCCTTTATATAAAGATCTGATCAAATTTAGGGATGTGTAGTCTGAATCCATACATGCTAACTACCTAAAGATAAAGGGATTCGACACAAAATCGAGCTCAACCCGGCTAGAAGTACTGTGTCGTGAAGCAGTGGCCACTACCTCGTAAATAGATCACAGCGATCGACAAATTCTTTACCGATTGCTTTGTAGCGGGCCATGTGAAGAAATCAACGTGCCCTCACAAATCTCCTACCTTTTTTTGTGAATGGCCACAAGAGTATGGTGGATAGTGCACGCATTCAACAAGCTGAATGCTGCAACGGTACCGGCTCGGACGCCGATACCGAGTAAAGACGTAATCATAGATGGTATGTTAAAAAGTACTATCTTTTATACGTAGATCTTTTGAATGGCTTCTTTTAGATCCTCATGCGTTAACGGGACATACCGCACAAAGCAGTAAGCACCCCGTGCAGAATGATGTGGGAGCGGCTATTGGTTCCACAGCGGCTATGTAACGCCTCTGCAACATTGCAGAGATGTGTAACAAATCTGTTGATACCGGTGCGGGATTTCGCACCGAGCTACTTTGACAATGACTTCGTCCAATCCGGGATATTCGTAAGAAGACGGACGTAGAGAATAATTTTACACGCGTCTTGGGATTCTACAAATTATGCGGAAGCAAAGTTGTATGCTATACTCAAGAAGTGCATCTTCGCGGCTGACGAAAATATCGCTTCTTGGGTACATCGTGGGTAAACACGGAGCGCGCCCTGATACAAAAATATTAAGGCGATCACCGAACGGCCTGTGCCAGTCGATGTAAAGAGGCTAAGGAAGTTCCATGGGCTAGCGGCGTACTTTCACAAGAACTTATGTAGTTACGCCTAAATCTCTGTACTTCTTTCTTGTTTACTCACGAAAAATGCGAATTAGTCATAAAACGCTGAATTTCAGTGTTCCTTTGATGGTAGCAAACATAGCTGTAAAAATTATCGCCCATACTGACGATTGAACATCAGAAAAGAGCACTTTACGTGTTCTGTGAATCCAGCGATATCGCGATCGGCTGTGCGTAGTTTCTTTATACAAGGTATGGCGCAGTGGCGCAGAGCGCTTATTCTACAATCAATCTCGTCAGCTACAAGCAGATGAGCGTAGTTATCTGGTGCATAACAAAGCAACTTTTTGACAGAAAATGTGCACTGGCTAAGATTCGTGTCTGTCTCTTAGGCGGTAGATCGTTTATATGGACCATGCGTCACTACGCACGTACGTAAACAGTCCACACCTCTCGCAAAGTATGGCGAGGTTATTGTTCTTCCTCGCACATTACAACTTAGTTGTGGAGTACAGAACCCGGACGACTGAATGTTGTTATAGACGCGTCGTGGCGCCACACCGATTTTGATTCGGCTGCACACTCCACTAGTGAGGTTGATGCCACTGTTGCA